TAATGTTTTCTAGAATTCATATTGATCTATAAAATATACTAAGGCCCAATTTCAGATGTGCTATTTTAAGTGGATTTGCGTAACTGGTATGAGTACTCATTTGTCCCAATTGTAATGGATCATAAATTAGTACACTAATTTAATTAGTACTCAAAGCCAGTCTCTGGTGTGCGTCTTGATGTTATATCATAAATGGAGGGACCTAAAGATTTACGCCGCCTCTGAACATTAAATGGATTTTTCGAGAACCAGAAATACACTCGGATGTTTGCCATTGCCTGTCGAGCAGCGACCGGCGTTAGAAATATTTTTTCTGATATATTTAGAATCTTATCTATGAAGTGGTAGTATGCACCTCTAACCAATCAGACCCAGCGGGCGTCCTGATGTTGTAACTCAAATACAGCAATTTGTTTCGTTCTCGCCAAGTGAGCTTGGTGGGTGGTGGGGTAAGTAAATTTTCGGTAACTGCTTTAAGTAAATTTTAGGAAGCTGGTATTTCAATATTGAAAAATTTCAGCACCTCTAATAATTCTTTAATATGCACATATTTTCCTTAATTACAATTTCAAATTCCGAAGTTCTCAGCTGATTAAAAATTTGCAATACCATATTTGTGAAACAGATTATTCAGAATAAATGTATGCCTTTAATTTATAATACACGCTCAAAAAAAATAAAACTAGGTAGCAAAAGGTTCGTCTTCGGCGAAAACTTCGGTCGTTTTGAAGCCGAGCATTGAGCCGACTATGAAAATATTGCCGAATACTCGGCAAACCGAAGCCGAAATTTCGGTTGGGCTCTAGATTGTAGATTAACTTAAAAAATTCAATTTCAGATCATATGTATATGAGCCATTCTTTTTTAAGCTGGACGGACTTCGTAAAAAAATAATGTCATGTCTCCGATTCGCTTCAAATTTGTTTTATGAGTTCTATGCATGAAATAAGCTAACACATGTTCGAAGAATTATTTTATTTATTTTTTCTTCGGAGATATGATCTCTAATCATGTACTTCCGATATCAAACAGAATGTGTCATGTATGTATAAACTGCACTTAAATGGCCATACCAAACAAAAATCAGCTGTTCAGCACAAAATGTAAACAAACAAACAAATGCAACAACAATTTCAAGGAACCAGCAACAGTGTGACCACTTGTTTGGCATATTTAAATACAACTAATCCGAAAGCTAAATGGCATTTAAACAACAATCCAAAATTAAACTTAAGGGACATATAAGTTTTCATTTGAAATTGGCCCTAATTGCGTTATCGATCATTCATACTGCGAGCACATACATATGTGCATTAGGGTGGTTCTTATTTTTTGAGATTGTTTTTTTTTTAGCTTAACTTAAAATAAAGCAAAGTAGTTATTTATCTTTTTTAATATAAATTTTAATACTGCATTCTATACGGACATTAGGTACTTCAACATTTTTTAGCAATCTGTACATATGTATAATAAAATTGTAACAGGCCGTATCTATACATTTTAGATATTAAAGAAAAATTAATATGGTCTTTATTAGAGCAATGGAAGTCAAAACAACAATTTTTAGAATTTTTATCTGTCTGTCTGTCCGTCTCTTCGTCTGTATGTTTGTACGCGCATAACTAGAGGTCTAACTCAAAATATAGAAAGAAAAAAATTAGACAGTCGCTACCTGTTTAAAAATAACAATTTAAGCAAATTGATAAAATTCTGTAAATATTGCAATATGGCTGTCAAAAGAAGAAAGCTCGGAACACTTTGACGCAGCAAGCGACAAGCAGCATCTGTCAAATTTTAAATACACACGTTCTTACGGACACAATTATTTTGACGACAGCACGACATCTTGGCTGCAGGACTGCAATTGTCGACGTCGCCAAATTAAATCTACTTCTAATTTTGCCGGCGACAATGAGTAGATGTAGTGCTGCAAAATTAAATTGTCGCAAAATTAATCACATATTCTTGATTGTTCATGTTTTTCTTATTTACTTAAATAAAAATACACAATTTGTGAAATAAATATACCAAAATGTCAAACTTTAAAATCAGCTGTTTGCTATGTCGCTGAGGTCTTCAAAATGTTTAAGAAGCTGGCTTCAAGGCGACATTTGTCGACAAAATGATGTCGCTGTCGTTGCGGCGTGAAGTTGCAGTCGTCAAAGTGTTCCGAGCTGAAGGCTTACAGCCGAAAATATTTTTGTGAAGGATGCCACACGTTTAAAAATTTGTATTCAATTGAATTGATAACATGGATACTGTAAGATGTGTATCAAACTGAAGAGGTTTCGGGAAGTTTACTGCCGAAAATATTTTTAAGGAGGGTTGCCACCTGTTTGGAAAATTGTGTTTAATTAAATGGATAAAATGAATGAAATATTACTAAATATACGGGGTATCAAACAACAAAGAAAACTTAAACCGCCAAATGTATTTCTGATTGTTAGTGCCCTAAATATACATGTTATATATATATATATGTAATTAGGGTGCCCCACCAAAAATAATCGCTCTTTTGCATCGAAATTATAAAGGCCAAAAATATTACAAATTACCGCAGATGATAAAAGAGTTAAGGCTTAAAAGGTCTGCATAAAAATACTTGAAAATTTTATCAACGGAATCAAAGTATATAATAAGATTTTTGGAAGTATTTTAAAATTGGTCCTAATATTTTCCGCATTATTTTGGCGCATATCTTAAAGTAAGTACATTAAATTTTATAATTCCCACTGCAGAAAGAGTACCGATGTTTTTTTTTTGTTTGTTGGCAGTAATGTACCCTAATGTTAATAGATATGCAGTTATGTATGTACATATATTTTTAACTACTCAATGTCACTGTGTCCTGTTTTAAGGCGTGCAGCTGCATAAATACGCATAGATTGTACTACTCATTTTATGCCCCCACGCTTTTTTTTTATGAATATATATTTGCACTTGCATATAAACGTAAATATGTATGTATGTGGCATGCATTTGGACACATGAAAACGAGAACATAAAAGCGCCAACCAACAGCTACTGTTTATGATAGAAGTTACTAAAAACTTTTTCAACTGCTGCGTTAAATACATAAAATGCACGCGGTAAGTATGTATAAATGACAATTAGTATTGTAAACAATTTGCAGTATATTGCGTTCAAAAAACTTATATGTATGTAGATACGTACATATGTACATATGTATGCAAGTTTATGGAGAAAACAAGCACATGCAAACCAACATAATTTATCACGTTAAAGTAATAAAAACCTAACGCCTTTTGTAAATATAGTGCAAAATTTTAGTAAACAATAGAATTTGAATACGCCAAAGTTTGCAAAAAATATATGTGCGATGTTCATTTTGGAACCTAATTTTTCTATAAAAGCTTTGAGTTGACTGCATTTGATGCTCCAGTATTATAAAGGGTGATTTTTTTGAGGTTAGGATTTTCATGCATTAGTATTTGACAGATCACGTGGGATTTCAGACATGGTGTCAAAGAGAAAGATGCTCAGTATGCTTTGACATTTCATCATGAATAGACTTACTAACGAGCAACGCTTGCAAATCATTGAATTTTATTACCAAAATCAGTGTTCGGTTCGAAATGTGTTTCGCGCGTCCGATTTATGGTCTACATAATCGACCAAGTGAGCAAACAATTAATGCGATTGTGACCAAGTTTCGCACTCAGTTTACTTTATTGGACATTAAACCAACCACACGAATGCGTACAGTGCGTACAGAAGAGAATATTGCGTCTGTTTCTGAGAGTGTTGCTGAAGACCGTGAAATGTCGATTCGTCGCCGTTCGCAGCAATTGGGTTTGTGTTATTCGACCACATGGAAGATTTTACGCAAAGATCTTGGTGTAAAACCGTATAAAATACAGCTCGTGCAAGAACTGAAGCCGAACGATCTGCCACAACGTCGAATTTTCAGTGAATGGGCCCTAGAAAAGTTGGCAGAAAATCCGCTTTTTTTATCGACAAATTTTGTTCAGCGATGAGGCTCATTTCTGGTTGAATGGCTTCGTAAATAAGCAAAATTGCCGCATTTGGAGTGAAGAGCAACCAGAAGCCGTTCAAGAACTGCCCATGCATCCCGAAAAATGCACTGTTTGGTGTGGTTTGTACGCTGGTGGAATCATTGGACCGTATTTTTTTCAAAGATGCTGTTGGACGCAACGTTACGGTGAATGGCGATCGCTATCGTTCGATGCTAACAAACTTTTTGTTGCCAAAAATGGAAGAACTGAACTTGGTTGACATGTGGTTTCAACAAGATGGCGCTACATGCCACACAGCTCGCGATTCTATGGCCATTTTGAGGGAAAACTTCGGAGAACAATTCATCTCAAGAAATGGACCGGTAAGTTGGCCACCAAGATCATGCGATTTGACGCCTTTAGACTATTTTTTGTGGGGCTACGTCAAGTCTAAAGTCTACAGAAATAAGCCAGCAACTATTCCAGCTTTGGAAGACAACATTTCCGAAGAAATTCGGGCTATTCCGGCCGAAATGCTCGAAAAAGTTGCCCAAAATTGGACTTTCCGAATGGGCCACCTAAGACGCAGCCGCGGTCAACATTTAAATGAAATTATCTTCAAAAAGTAAATGTCATGGACCAATCTAACGTTTCAAATAAAGAACCGATGAGATTTTGCAAATTTTATGCGTTTTTTTTAAAAAAAAAGTTATCAAGCTCTTAAAAAATCACCCGTTACATAGTGTCGCTTTACATACTGTAGTACTTCGAGTAATTCATCATTCTCATACGTGCAGCACATAAGTGAAGTCAGGCAAACGAGAATTGTGCGGAAAATGCATAGATTTTATAGAATTAAAATATTCTTAATTTGCATTTTTGCAATAACTGAGACTTTTAAGAAAGTTGGTGGCATACCAAAAACTTCAGTTGAACAAAAAGTACTGCCACTTGGCCAAATATCCGAAATCCACGATGGAAAATTGGAAAGAAGCGTAGGCGATATTTTATCGATAGTGCCAAGATAATTTTTTTCATTTCCTCGCAAATATTTCTTATTGTCTACATATTATTTGTATTTAACAGAAACGTGGCTTTTTGGATTATCTGCTGTCGGGACTCGTTGAATATTTTGATTACAGCGATGAAGATGACTCTGAAGAGGATGAAAAATACTGTGAACACTTACAAAATATTTTCATAATAAGTTAATTGATTTTAGTTTCCCTTTATTTCTAGTGATATGTCGAAATTGCACAATTCTTATTAGCCAGCAAGATAGTCACATAAGCGCCGCGGTGCGACCAACTGTTGCTCCCGCATCTTTGGAAGGCGAAAATAAGTACCCAAATGGAGTAGGTTGGTATATATAAACATATATGTAAATACATATATAGTACATATACACATATTCATATGTATATGAATTTCATTACTGTTGCCACATATATTCGGACACGTCTGGCATTTTAATTTTTTGTTTTTTTTTTTAATTTTAAATGTTCCGACGGGAAAACAATCTGTCTCACATTTTCGATAATTTTATGTCGGCTGTTCACGTAGAATCAACGAACATAAAAAATTAAGAACATACATGACTCGTCGCATTGCTCAAAATACACTCATTTTTAGAAATTTTTGTTATGGTAACGCTTAAACGTCGCTGCCTATGAGACCCTAAAAATGATTTTTGACTCGATTTTGAAATACAACTTCATCAGAAAATCATAAATATTATTATGTATCACGAACGATAGGCAACACGAACGATTCGTCTTCAGAAGAATGCTTCAAAACTTAAGGCTCAGTTATGTAGTAAGGGAAACCTTTCAATCTCCTTAGAACTATTTTCATAAAAATTTGCTTCGCTAAAATTTTTTTTGTTTGGATAATTTCTACTTTTGTTAAAAGTATTTTTTTTTTCTAAGCAATACATTTTTTGCTTTCAGAAAGATCATTGTAAAAAACAATAAAGAAAAAAATACTTCTACTAAATTCTGTGTTAAAATAGTATTTTTTTAAATATTTTTTTTAAGTTTTCATAAATGTTTATTTTCTGTAAAATGTTCCACAACATTTTCTTCTAAAATTTGTTGCATGGTTTAACTTATATTTTTTCAAAAAATATTTATTTTTTCTAATCAAAACAAAAACCAATTTTCTAAGAATAAGGGTAACCTTTTAATTTCCTCAAAATTGTTTTCATAAAAATTTGTTTCCCTACAATTTTTTTTGTTTGGATAATTTCTGCTTTTGTTAAAAGTATTTTTTTTCTAAGAAATCAATTGTTTTCTTAACCAATATTTTTATATAATGATACTTATAAAAAGATCTTTTAAAAAATACTATTTTAACCCAGAAACAAGTATTTTTTTCTTAATTTTTTTATAAGTATCTTTTTAGAAGAATAAGAAAACAATTGATTTCAAAATTAACGAATAAATTATAATAAATCGATTTTTTTTTAGTTTTTTTTATAGATGTTTATTTTCTAAAAAAGATTTTCACAACATTTTTTTCTAAAATATCAATAGTGAATTTTTTAGTTTTGATAAAAATATTCAATTTTTATTTCGAAAATTTTATGATAAAAATAACTAAATTAAAAAGGAGGGACATAATGAAAAAACACAAAACTTTAAAATGATTCATACAGTTTTCTTATGAGCCGAGAAACTCTTTGGGAAGCATGTTTCCCTTGGTCCTGGAAGGGTTAACCACTCAGCTTCAGCGGCCGTCTAAAATAAATTTTATTTCATTTGAAAAACAAATATTAATTTTTTTAAGAGTTTTTAACTTTCGTTGGTTTTTTCCATATTAATAATTTTCCATTTCCATAATAATATCGACCGAAACACATTTTTACGTTTTTCATTTTGGGCGAAACTTCAAAAATGTATGTAACTTCTAAACTTTTTGAGACCACATCTCGGAAAAAATCTTATTGGAAAGGAAATTTTAAAATTTTTATTTTAATCTTGAAAGGAACTTAGACAAAATAAATTAGTTAGTTTATATGGCTCGTAATTTTGAACTTTAAAAATCATTCATTGTTTTTCAATAATACCTCTTTTTAGTAATTGGAACCAGAAGTAGTGAACTAATAAATAATTTTGATAAACCAACTTAACTGTTTTATCGATATTTGTCACGCCCATAATTTTTAAGAAAGTAATTTAAAATATTTCCAACTCCATTTCGGTCAGTTTTAGTACGGAATTATGCTGTGGGCAAAATTTTAGCCAAATCGAAGGCCATCGCGAAGAATCTTCGTACATTGAATTTGGAATAGTTCTATGGTGAAAAAAAATTTAGCGTACACTTAAAAATTTTTCTAAGTACCATGAAACATGGGCTTTTGAAAAAAGAAAATTATCAAGTTAGAGATTTTTAATAAAAGTTTCACTTAATAAAGCTTCTTAAATCTATTTTATTTTTTATGAATAAGGCCATTTGTAAATTTTTTATTTCCCATTTGTCTTATAAACTTTTGGTAAATCCTATAGTATCGCGGCAAATTTTGCGTTTATCCTATATTGTTGGCAACACTAACATATATACATACATATAACATGGGTATATGTGTATGGATGTATGTATGTCTAAATACTATGCTATTTATTATATACATACATTCTTATGGATGCACATGTATTTATACGCAATTTTTCTATTATTTTTTAGCCACTACTGTACCAAGCGCACCTGTGACAGCTGCAGCACCCAGTGACACGGCTTCAATAGCACCCACGCCAATTCCATAAGGAACATTAAAAGTCAACATTAAATAAGAGTATGCTTCAATTTTAAAATAAGAGTTTAAGTGGTTGTAGGTACAATATGGTTTATTCAACACGGGGGTTTTTACATTTTATCGATAACAACCAGCATATCGCTCATTAACTTCAATATTTAGTGTCATAACTCAAGAAAGCAAAACTCGTGAAAAACGGCTTTAAAGTTTTGAATATACTCCTATAGTAAAACTGAATACATAATTTGTTCCACATAGTGAGATATTGGTAATCGATAGAGCTAGGGAATTTTTACACAACATAGAAAGAGAGGTAGTGGTATTTTTTTGCATACTCCACTCAGTTTTTAATTTTTTATATTAAGACACAATCGAGGTAAATGAGCGATATGTTTTATAAATATTGCACATGTATGTACATACAAACATTTATAACGACCGCTTTGCGCTAAATTATCGTAAGTTACAACAACCTAATTTTACAGGAAAGTGTTTTTTTTTTGTATTTTTCTCTGCTTTGGCTAGCACCATCAATACTAAAGTTTAGATTTGCTGAGATAATTGAGAAATATAACTAAACGCAAAATTTTTTTGTAGACAAGTTTTCATATTCTAATTTCTTAGCAGATACAATAATTTCGCCCACAAGAAAAAAACTCATTGTTACATACGACAAAAATTTACAATGAATTTTTGTGGTAGCTATTGGGATCTAAGCCGTAATATTTGAACAGGTGATGCGTTATGGGGTGTGGAACAAAGTTACATCAAAAAGTGAATTTCGTACAAATTTAACATACGATACTTTGGCGCAAAGGGGTCGATATGTACTTATACACACGAAATAACGAAACAAATGATTTTAAGAAAAAAATTAGTCAGACATAAAACATGAAACAGGCAAATAAATGTCACCAGTACGGCGAAAAGGAGGCATTAAAAACTAAATAGAATTAAAAAAAAGTCAGAAAAGACATTAGCTTAAGAACTTTTTGTTACAACAAAACTAAACCTAAATAAATACATAAGCTGCAGGAAAAATTGATGTAAACTTGATCAAAAACTGTTCAAACTGTTTATGTTCAGAGACCCACCACAGCGTTACAATATTGTGGGCTCTTAGGTGGCTTAAGAGAGTTTTCTACAAGCCTTGATGGCGTTCTTAATAAGTCTAACGCCTTTAATGCTGCCTGACTATCTGACATAATGTAAATTCTGGCCCCATTTATTGTTCTGCGAAGACAATCTCGAATATCTTGGTTCAAGTTCTCTATAGATATGCATTTTTCATAATTTTATGTACCTGAAGATGACTTCAGATTGAAGTCGACATACATATTGACAAATCAATGCAAATACATTATAAAATTATGTGTTTAATTTAGATACATATATATGTACGTATGTATGTACATCTGGCCTTGAGCTCACCAAAAGCTAATACTATGCTTACACGCATAAATATGGATATGTGTAACAGTACATTTGTGCATACGTACTTAATTAAGTGGCGCTAAAACCGAAGAACCACCAAAAAAAAAAACGAAAACATTTATTCATAACATCTTGACAAACACGGTGGTTTCACTCTTCAAAAAGTTGTACATAATTCAAAAGAGCAAAAATTTTGTGGCGCTACACTGCAGCATAATAGGGGAATTTTATTTGTTGGGAGTAGTATCTAAACATATTTTTGGACACATACGAATGTATGTACATTTTAGAAATATAAATAACTAATCCAATAAAGTTATTAAACAAATTTTGAATTTCAGTATTTTATTTGCAAAAGTATGCATATAGGGGCCATGTTGTAGGGTATCTCCCTTCTCAATTTACTTACACCAAATTACAAATGTTCGCATGCAAACTAAAGACCCACAAATGTGTTGCACATTTGCAAGTGACATCGTACGAATAGCAATGCGACAGTGAGTAAAAACGGGAAAATACAAGTTGACACTCCGTTTGACATTTGTAATCTTTCGATCGTTAATTATTTTCGAATTGTGAGAGCAGCCCATGAATATGCAACCACACAGGAGCTGCTTAAAATACTAAAAGAGGAAAACAGCAGCCATTCACTAGATTTTGGTAAGCAAATTAGCTTCTACATATGTATGTGCATTCATATATACATATGTAAGTATGTAGTACTTACATTCATATCATTCATTTCACAAAAGACTGTCACAACCCGAAAAACGCGATTTTTCAGTAGATGCTTTTGGAGTTTTCAATTGACACTCATTAAGCAAAAAATGGAGATGCAACGCTTGAAAGTTACACAAGATTTTAGTGTGATATTTTCACAGAATATTAAGAACGATATAACGGCTAATGGTGCTTCAGTATTATCTCAAAATTGCCGTTTTCGCAGTTGCGGCACTCTTTTAATAAATTAGTGATATGTTCACAAAAAATATTTGATGTTGATGCGCCTGTGTACTCTTATCTTCTACCATATACTAGGTTGGTAAGCATATAGTTTTTTGGTGTCCTAAATCAGATAGAAAAGTTGTTTACGAAAACCTGAACTGATATTGCAAGATCATCATGTGACATATCATGAGATCAGAACATGCTTGGGCAATTGTTCACAATAGGCATAATTTGACATTTGAAGGAAAATTTAAATTGATGGGTCATCCAATGGTTCCCGCAAAGTGAAAATAAGTTACACGGATAACGTTATCACATATTATCACGTTAGATTAAATTTGGTTAATTGTTACCTTAGGGAAATAAGCCACGTGAGAAGGCTGGGAATCGCCTGCAACGACTTCTGTAGAAGTTGCAGAGATGAGAACGCTTTTAGGTTGAAGATGTTGCTCATTTTCTTTCATATATCTATGTAAAAAAATCGTCGAACATACTTCGTATGGGAGAAATTTCGCAACACCGCCAGCAAAAGGGATGGCCAAAAATCAACGGTAAGTCTTAGCTACTTCAAACCAGTGTTGAAAAAGTAGGAACAATTTTAGGAATCTTTTGAGACTTTCCAAAGTTCTGTCAGTTATACTAAACAATTGCAGACAGATCCCTCTAACCTTGAGAGCTGTTTGAAATATGGATTCCTACGGTTTTTGTTACAACTATAAACTATGTTTTTATATAAATTCTCATTTTCGTTGTTGGTGTTATTATTATTATATAAACATGACTAAAATTAAATAAAAAATGAATTGTAAATGAGTTGTAGTATTTAGTTTTCTTGATTGTTTACGCGCTGAACGCATAGCATAAGTTTCCTTTAATAAAACAGTCAGATTTTTATAACTTATTAAATAGTTTTTATTTATTTTCGAACTTAAAAGAAACGACAAGTTAATCGATTAATTTTGAGATAAAAAACTGCCAAATTTTTTTTTTTTAATTTTACCCGTTGTACCTAAATAATTCTTTTTTACAAAAGAGTGCTTCTTATGGTTAGGAAATATTTTGGCTGAATAATCGACTACCCTAATGTAAAAATGTTTTCACTACCAGTTGTTCTTTCTTTTCTTCAAGACAAGTGAAATATGCTCGGCATGCTTGCTGCGCAATTGTAACAATTTGTAAAATTTGTAAAGTACATTTTCCGAACATTTCGATTATTTGTACATATCTGCGTGCATTTGACTTTTGTGCTAAATGTCAATAAATTAAACTTTATAAGTTTTCACTTGTTGAAAATTTCCTAGAGTAAGAAAAAATATACGAAACCAATAACGAAAAACACATACATGCGTATTAGGAATGTTAATCCCAGGATCCCGGGATCCCGACCTTTTTTAGGTCCAGAAAATCCTGGGATTCTTGGCAAATAATCCCGGGATTTTCGGGATTTTAAATGTGCACTGATGGCAAAATAGAAACTCCTTTTCTTGACCAGTGTTGGCTATATTTCTTTCTTTTATTTAATAATTATTATTTTTAAATTTAAACTTTACACACAAAAACATCAATATATCCGCGAAACTATGGGCCAAATATAGTAAAATTTGCTTTTGTAGTTTTTCACTCTGACGTCAGCAATTAAAAAGTGATTTAAAAAATTCAGAGAAAAAGTTTGGGTATGAACTTAAAGAAGAAATTCTGTAGAATTTAAACAGATTAAATTTTTTGGTGCATAAGGACTGGTCAGTATTGAAAATTTCCTTTTTGTTTTTGAAAAAATTATAAGTTAAGGACTTATATAAACTCGATAACATCCTCGAATTTCGTCCTTCTAACTTTATCAGCATAAGAAATTACCTATTCATCCTTGTGAATCCAAAATATTTTAATTTTTTTTAATTCTAAAGAAATTTTCTCTTTTATTTGTAAGTACCCATATTTTTATTTTATATTGCATTGAATTTTTTAAATAATTTTTGTAACTAATCACGTCTTTGAAATTACAAAGTCCTTTAAAATAAATCCTGATGTCAGAGAGAAAAAATAAAAATGCCAATTTTAATAAAAAAGTAGGTTTCGAACCCAATTATTTATTACATATTTTATATTAGGAGAGCTTTTCAAACAATATAGAAGGAATTTTTTAGCATATAACATAATAAGCACCACACTCATAAATCTACATTTCAAACCATCTTACAGTTTCATAAGTAAAAACACTATCAGCTGATTGCCAAAAAATACCTACAGCTGACCTGTTTTTTGACATTTTCTTTTCTCTTTTACAATTTCATTCGTTTCTATTGCAATTTCTTTGATTTCTAACCAAACAAACACGTACAGCCCGCAAGAGAAAATGGTAAGAAGAAGAGTTGCGTTACTTATAGAACTTCCTACAAAAATTATAAAAATTCAACAAACTTTAATTAATTAAATTTAAAACTTTTTATTAAAAGAAAGAAAATTTTTAGGTATGCAGTTTTATAGCACACCAAATTTTAGTAGGTTAAAGTGCAAATTGTAAAACGCTAGAAAATCGCGTTGATTTTTAAAATTTTTTTTTTTTGCTGACGGTGCTAGGCATTTTCGCCCGTATAAAAGTAATTTTCGAGCATACTTATGTATAGAGTCCGACCGATTCCAATTTTTTTCAGGTACCGATGCCGATGCCGATTAATCGGCTTATGGGGAAAGAATCGGCCGATGCCGATGCCGATGCCATAAAAAATTACAAATAAATTATTAATTCATAAAATCAGTTCATTTCACGGAGTTTAAAAAAAAAATAAAAGATAAGAAATAATTGAATTCATTGGCTTGTTATGCAACATTACATACACATGTATGTACAGACATACACATGTATGTACATACATACATATGTATGTGTAAAAATATATGTAAAAGATATTTAGGAACATATAATTTCATTTCGTTTTGTACTAAAATACACTCTTTTGCACTCAATGCATAAGAACTTATATGCTATGTATGTATGTACATTACTCCCCATACAAAACAAAATCGGTTCTATTTTTTCATTGGAATTATAAAATCTGTTATTTTTTAAGACGTCCACCAAAATATTTCGGAAAAATATTAAGATTTAAGTGAGCTGGACCGATTTGAAAAGTCCTCCAAAAATTGTTTTTTTATGAATAAAAATAGTTTCTTAAAGATTTTTTTTGAAAAAATCCCCTCAAATGACAAAACGGTTTAAGCTTAAAATATTTGCATAAAAATATTTAAAAAAACGAAAAAAAGATTTTTAACAGAATCGTAATGATGAGATTTTTGATGCTATTTTTTTACTTTTTTCAAAGATTGGTATAGAAAAAACTTGAATAGCTGAACCCAAACTCTTCCGATTTAGACTTAAGAGGTGTCATTAGAAAGGTATTTTCTCACCCTTTTTATTTTTGCTGATAAACTCATTCAAAGGATGGAAGAGAAAGGTAGGATGAACGAACGTCATTCAAAGTTGAATTAAGATGTGTTGGTATTCGAAAAACAACATGGGGCACGAATGACATTTTTTTGTTATTCAAGTTATTCAAGTTTTTCGTAAACCAATCTTTGAAAAAAGTAAAAAAAACAGCATCAAAAATCTCATTCTTGCGATTCCGTTGAAAAGATTTTCAAATATTTCTATGCAGATTTTTTAAGCTTAATCTAATTTGTCATCTGAGGGGAATTTTTTCAAAAAGTTCTTTAAGAAACTATTTTTATTCATAAAAAACTTCATTTTTGGAGGCATTTTCAAATCGGTCCAGCTCGCTTAAATCTTAATATTTTTCCGAAATATTTTGGTGGACTTCTTAAAATATAATAAATTTTGTAATTCCGGCGGAAAAACCGCAACTTTTTTTGGTGATGCAGTCTAATGTACATACATATAGTGGTCCACAAAATAAAAAAATTGCGATATTTTGACCGATTTTGTCTTTTTTATTTAATGTTTATTATTTTTTTTTATAAAAGTCTAGCTGGTATACAACAAACACCATATAAATTCAGATTTCAAACTTTGTCCAAAATTAGAAAAATTCTGCTTATTTTCACCAAAATTTCAAACTTTTTAATCAGAATTTGGGTAGTTGAAGTGCAAGTTTCAAGCTGCTATAAAATCCCGTTAATTTTTGGCAATTTTTTTTTGCTAGCAGTGTTCTCCATATAAAAGAAAATTGTCGCACATACTTTCGTATGGAAAAAACGTGAAACAATTTGAACAAAAAAAAATAATTTTTGTGAGCTGTCTGCAAATGTTTTTTAATGTTGGCTGTCGCTTCATCT